ACTATGGGCCTAGGCCATTGGCCATGGCCTAAAGTCTTTTATTTATTTATTTATTTTTAGCCCAGTACACTTGGCCCATCCCCAATTTGCCCACAACCCAACACAAGACCAAGCCTAACCCTTAATTCCAACCCAGGCCTGTCTAACCTAGCCTAGCTTGAACCTAGTTGGGTTATTTCTTCTTAACCTGGAAATGTGCAAATTACCCAAATGAAAAAATTCATATATTACCTGCAAATTTTCTGGAAATCTTTGAAATCAGCTCCATGTTGATGATCGATAAGACTCCACAACCTCCAATAACTCACCAATTTGGCTTGTGAGCAACATAATTTGCCAGAATTAAGCTTGGAAGCTTGGCTATGGTGAACAGACAGATATGATGAAAGGATGAGAAACTGATCGATTTAGGAAGAAATTTTCTAAAATTTCTTGAGGGTTTTTGTTCTATATACTTAGTCGAACCCCATTATGAAGAAATTTCGGTTTCATTCGTTACTAATTGCTTGAATTTACTACAATAAACATGAAGGATCTGAACGTTGCCAACGCAACGTTCGAGATCCACTTTCCATAATTTACAATTTAATCCTTGTACTAATATTCACTTGCAAACTAGTCCCTGGCCAATTTTTGGTATATACTATTTAGACCCCTTTATGTTTTGTTTCATTCAATTTTATCCCCAAAATTTTCAACTGAGTCCCCAATGTCCTATTTGTTTTAATTATTCCCTTGAGTATTTCAATATATTTTAATGAATCCAAAATTTTGCGGGTATTACAAAAAGAGAAGACCTATTTAATGTGTTTTTGGAAGGCATAGTACTAAAATTTAAATTTCTAGGAAGTAAAGTGCTATTGCTCCATAATCTTATATATATAATATTAAAAAATTCAAAACTAAATGGATTAAAATAAGAAAATTTATAAATTAATATGATTAATAGAATAGAGTTGAGAGAATTAAGTGTAAAAGAATATTATTTTTTAATTGGATTAGATTTCTTTATCAAATTTCAGATTATTTATCGAATTCGTATATAGTCTAGCAAACATAAATACTATAAAATTTCAAATTAAATTTGAATATATAAATAGCTAATTAGATTCAAATTTGGTTGATTTGATCAAAATACAACTCGTTTTATAACTACATATGAAAGAGTCAAAATTTTGTTATACATGTGTGTGTGTGTGTGTGTGTTTATATAGTTGTATTGAACCCGAAAGATTAGTCCCAATCTTACTGGGAAAATTTTTTCTTATTGATGACCGGAGAAGTTGAGAATTGCAAAATTTTTTCAAATTGTTTCATTTTATGGCTTTTTCTATAAATAGCTAAAGCCATAATTTCATGTTATAACTTGAAATATTGATTATTCGTTTATCTTGATTTTATGATTTTATTACCATCATAATTTGTATTTAATTTTTAATATTTAAAATTATTAGTGGGTTTTATATTATGACTTAAATCTTTAATTTTTTTTATTTTATTTATAAATTTGGTATGTACATACTATTTATTAAATAAAAGACAAATTATGGCATAATAAAAAAATGGCTTTCTAAACCTTAAATTGGGAGAGAATTCCCCTATTTCAAATAAAAGGTGGGGAGATTGATCAGGAAAAGATTCTTCTGTCTCGTTTGCATATCCACGTAAGACTACTATTGTCAAATGAAAATGGGTTTTATGTGGAGGCTTGTTTGCTCAACTTGTATTACACAAATAAAAAGACAACATTTCCCATCCTTTGTAGGAAGCCCGCCCACACCCACCCCCCACCCCCACACCAACACGCAAGCACACACGCACGCACGCAAAAAAAGAAAAAAAAAAAATCTCAGATAGGGCAGCTACACAAGAGATGATAAAAATAAAAAATGAAAAATGGTCCAAGCATAAAAAAAAGGCGTCATAAATGAGCTGCTGGATTTTGAAGTTTCAGATCTCAAAATAAATTTTGTGATGGCTCGCGTAAATTTAACTTCATGTCAATTTATATTCTGTAATATATAAATTTTAATTTTGAATATCTTATTAATAGTTATTATATGACTTTAATTATTTAAATATTATATATTTATCTTAACACTATAAATAAATAGAGGTATTATGGGTCTAGACATATGTAATAATATATAATCATTTTTATACTTTTTTCTTCTTTCAACTAATATTTTGATATTATTTTTAGATAATTAATAATGTTTTATTCCTAATCTCCGTGTGATCGTGTCCATATTAAGAAATGATGGCATGATAATTAGATTGTATTTTGAAATTGTGACCAACCGTCCGTAGCTACACCAAAGAAAATAAATCACTTTTTTAGGACAGTATTAATTGGTATGACTCTTATACAAGCTAATTATTCATATTTCTTAATTTTGAATTTTACTTTAATTTCTATATTTCAATTATTAGTATTTTTATTATTTACCAACAACATGGGCATAACAATTTTATTCACACTTGACATTTACTCGTAAATTTTGTTCATTCAAGGTTGGATATAGATATTATAAATAAGAATTTGGAACGAATTTAAAGGTTTTTATGAAGGGGATGGGAATCACAATATGTAACTCGTCCTGAATATTATGTATCTTTACATATTAAAAAGTATATTGACATTTAGATTATAGTTTTATTTGATTTGAAAGAGTATTAAAATGTAGTTTGAATAAATTTTTATTTTTTTTATTATGTATTATTTTATCTCACAATTTCAAAAAGGAATTATATTTAAATAAATATAAGAGTGAATATAATATTATTTAACAAAAATAAAAATTAATATCCAATTAAATACAAAAACAAGTATGCGGATAAATTTTCTAAGCTAATATGAAAGTAGATACATTGATATCCATCCCTCGTGTTCCTACTCATAGTAGTGCCAGCATAATTAAGTACTTCCTCTTGAGAGTTGTAGCATTTTTTTTTTTACAAAGATTTCTCACCATCTTAATTTTTTCCCCTAATACGTAGAGTTTATTTTTAATAATTTTTAACTATAAAAAAATAAATTTATCTATTCAAAATTTTTACTTTTAAATTATTTTTTTCTAAATTTTAATAAAAAACTAAAAACTAGAAGTACTCGAGTCTCCTATTTTTTATAATTAATAGCATAATTACAAACAATTCAAGTACTATTATTAGAATTTATAAATATTTTTAATTTTTATATTTTTAATAATTTTTTAAATATCTTTAAATTTTAACATTTTTAAAATAATAATTCTCAGGAATATGTTCACTATGCTTCATCTATTCATTCATAGTAAGTGGATGTTTGGATAGGTTTTTTAACCAAAAAGTACATTTTTATTAAAAAAACACTGTAATTGTTACACCCCACTTCATAACTCGAGCGAAGTGTGACAGTAAAATAGGGTTTAGCAACCTCCGATACTCGAGATTTACCGGAGAAGGTCAAACCTTATTCAACTATTGTACCTGCTGAATACTCTGTATAACTCATATCTAAAAATTTTACACCGATTAAATAAAATTAAAATACATTTAGATTAAAAATATAAAATTTTTTTTTCTTAAAACTTATTCAAATTAAATTAAAGTTTTCCTGCCTTAGCTTAGTTTCGTCGCCTGTTCTTCCCGAGCTCGCTCTCCATTCTTTTCTCTTCTCTCCTCTCTCTCCTTTCTTCTCCTTTTCTTTTTTCTCCCTTTTTGACCATATTTGCTCGTAAAAGAATGAGTCTGAAATAAACTGTTCTTGCAAGATTATTAAGAAAAGCAGAAGTAACAAAAAGAGCAATTTTTTACTTTTCAGTGAAGCTGGTAAGACTAGCTTCTGGAGTTGACGGCTTTTAGTAGTAGAGAGAGAAAAAAAAACCTGAGCCTCTTAGCCCACTGGTCACCTCTTTCTCCAACCTCTTATCCCACAAGATGACTCGTTGTGGAAGCTTGCTTCAAGCTATGGCTATCATTGGAACCTCTTCTTCTAACAATCATTCAGTGCTTCTCACAATCAAAGATCATCATTCTATGCCTAGGTGTTAGAACTTCATCGTTGAGACCTCGGCGATTGTTCACAAAGAGGAGTCCACCAGCCAATCAATTTCGCCCCTTGATCGGTGCTAGACGATTTCGTCCCTTGACTTATTTCTCCCTTAACTGAAGAAGCCTAGATCAGGACTAAGCTTGTAGTTGCCGACACCACTGCCCAACGAAGCTCGCAACCAACATTACAATTGATGCCTCTCGCCTAAAATTGGTGACTGACAAATGAGTCCACGACCAACAATGCTTCCTTCTTGTTGCCGATTTATGCAGAGAGAGAAAGAGAGATCAAATGAGAGTAGTGAGAGACCAAACGAAGAAAAAAAAAAAAAAGTACATTTACATATTTTTTATCTAACTAGTTCAAAATACTAAAATAACTCCTACTTTGAAAAAAAATCACTTCTCAAAAAGGCTGTCCAAATGGGCCATCATACTAAAGACGAGAAGCCCACCACCTTTGAGAAGCCTCATAGCCACGTTAATATAAATGTAACATTTGAATATTAAGTTTATTTTTCCAAATTCAAAAGCCTTTAGCAAATTAGTTTGATTTGAATATTTTCTCTCACTTTTTACTTGAATATTTTTCGTACATATTTTGTGAAGTTAATGAGAAAGTTTAACCAACTCCACATTACTATATTTCCACATCCTCAGTAAGTTAGGAACAGAATTCATATTATTTATAAGTCCTACCAAACAAAGCCTTAATATGAAGGTGTCCTCTTTATCAATCATGTGACTGATAAGAAATTATAGAACATTTCCAATAAGATTTCTCTACGTCCCAAAAAAGAAAATGAGTTTTTAGTCCTTGTCAATTTCAAAAGCCAAAAACCAAAAGGCATCCATCTTTAGCCCACAAGAAAGAGCGCAGGCAGCGGGCCGAAAACTCACGTACTCAACTGGGCCGCCTCTCCCACACCTCCAGGCCCACTGGCACCCCATTCTGGGCCGCCTCAAACTCCTTGATCAATTCGGGATCAACGTTCCCCTCTGGCTCCCACGTGGCCTCCTCCATGTCCGTCCATTTCACCAGATACTCCCTCCGCCCTCCCTCGTCCCTCCGATTAACCACTGCCTCCGCCACCGCGTACTCCACCCCCGCCTCGAAGTCCGCCACGACGTCCTCCGCCACCAGCGCCGCCCTCACCCACTCGTTCTCGCCGCCGTCCTTCCACCTTACCAAATACTCCACCTTATCCCTTTCCCTCTCTTCTCTATCACTTCCTGCACCTCCGCAAACTCGTAAATCGCCTCCTCCAAAACCCTGATTACGCTCTCCAGCCCCAACCTTCTCCCGAACTGCATCGGATTCCCCTTCGGCGTTGCCCGGAGAATTTCTACGGCGATATCCATTGGCGTTTTCCCCGTTCGTCCTCAACCTCCGGTCGGCTCCGAGCTCGATTAGAACCTTCGCGACGCCAGGCTTGACATAGCCGGCGGCCATGTGGAGCGCCGTCAGACCGCCGGCGTTGTCGCGGTGGTTGAGGTCTGCTCCCGCCTCGGCGAGAAGGCGGACGCAGGGCTCGGAGCCGAGGCCGGCGACGAAGAGGAGGGCGGTACGGCCGTCGGCGTCGACGGCATCGACGTCCCTGTCGTCACCGGCGGATATTAGTTGGCTCAGCGCGGACTCGTCGGCTTTTTTTGGCGGCGGTCCACCAGGGGGTCTCGTACTCGGCCACCACGTCGGCGGCGATGTAGTTGGAGGGGACCCACGTAGGGGCGTGGTCGTCCTTCCACTGGATCAGGTACTCCATGCCCTTGCCGCCTTCCAGAGCTCTGCTGCCGATGATTTTGTCGACTTCGCCGTACGATTCGTCTTCATTGTAGTCTTCGTACGTGAGTTCCGGCTCCTGAACTTGTGGTTGCTGATGGTTGTCGACGGTGGAGGTACGGAGTCTCAAATGGTGGGGGTGATGGCGATGGGGGCGGAGATGGAGCGAGGAGATAGATAGTGGTGGGGCTGCGGGGAGGCGGAGTTTGGAGGTGAATTTGATGCGGGAGAGAGAAGGGTTGCTGCAGAGAGCATCCATTGGCGGATGAAGTTGAGATTCAGATGTGGCTAGCGGGTATGAACGGTGTGACCTTGTTGGGTGGTCATGGTTGAAGCTAGAATCTGAGAACGATAGCTTAAGATAAGGAACCACATCCCTTAAAAACTCCAAGTATACATACTTTTGTATTTTCATGGGCTACACGGGCGTGTATTTTGAAACGCTTTTAAATCTCATGCCATCTGGACTTTCCAAAAATCCATCTTTGGCCCAGTTGAAGGGATAGGAAAAGTTGCGGAGGATGCTGTTTCGGCCGTTGGATTGAGGAGATGAGATAATCCAACCATTGGCCTCAATCTCCATTTTTCAGTAGTTCCTTAAGGAACGAGCATAACCTTTATGAAGCTTCTCTCGTCACTTCCCATCCGACCTCACAGCTTTTACGAGTTCTGCCTAACCTCTAAAACGAAAAAGAGTGAACTACATACTCAGATCAAGCCAGGAGTGGGCGTGGGCGGTTTCGGCGGATTTATTAAAAAAAAAATAATTAATTTGATCTTATATGAGTAGGGGATAAAAATTTTAAACTATATCTGTCTGTTATTTATCTCAATCATGCAGTTCAAATTAATCAAGTATGGGTGATTTTATGGGTGGGTTAGTGAATTGATTCAGTAAAATTATTAATATTAAAAGACTCATATGTATATATCTGATACAAATTATTCTCTATTATTAATAAAAGTATAATTAAATTAAAACTCAAGTAATGAAATAAAATTAATTTTAAATTATAAAATATAAAATAAAATGTATATTAATAAAATGTAAAAAATACAATATTTTTTCTATATTTATTAAATGCAAGTGTTACGTTATAATTGAATGTATTAAATACCTAAATTGTAATTTGATAAAAAATAAAGGATTTAATTGAAATAATTAAAATATTATAACATAAAATGAAATAGTTATTAACTGTAAGTTATCCTACTGAATACAAAGGAATTTTTAGTTATAAAAGTTGTGGAGTGTTAAGTGTTCCACACATGAAGTTAAGTGGGTGACTTTGCATTTTTATGTGAGATTAATTGAGAAAGTAATGACAAGAAGTTGAATGATTTAATTATCATAAAAAAGAAGGTTACATTTATGAAAAATAAAAATAAGATCAAATGCAAGTAAATGATAGTTGTAGTCATTAAAAAATAATAAATAAATTTAATAATTGATATTAAAATTATACATATATGGTGGATGGATTATGTGACGGCGTGTTTTAAAATTAAACTCGCCACTCAATTGAATTATAACGGGTTGCAAAATTTTAAACTATTACAAAAAAAAATTTAATGTAAATTGGCGGGTTGTGAACGGCTTAAGCAGGTAGGTTTGGCAATTTTATACTCACCCTTACTCCCCTTGTCCGAGCAGCCATAAAACATTCTGTTAGTTCAACTTTCATCTGGGAGAAAACACACTTGCCTAAGCAGCAAGAAGCAATCTTTTAGTTGTGTATGGATAGCACTAATTTGGTAAGGAATTATTAGGAAATGTAACAAAGTTTCTCACGAAAAGTTGTAAGATTATGTGAGAAAAGACTCACCAAGAGGAGGTGGAGCGGCTATTGTGAGTAATTATTATGGATAAGAGAGCTAGCTTTGGATTGAGGGGAAGATTTATCCATTTGTAATCAGAAGGTCACAGACTTGTCTTTAAAAATTTAAATACCCAGTCTGAAATGCTGGGGAAAAACTGCATTTGATTATGGAATGATAATAAAAGGTGATTATCAATGGAAACTCATTACTTCACTCATTCTGCTCTTTCCCTTCCTAGTTCCTTCAATTAATCATTGTCCCTCTTTTTTCTTAGTACTGCAGGAACTCTTCAATTGTTTTCTCTAATCTCGGCCATGCACTTGGCATATTGATATGTTATTAGGAACGTGAATTATCTCGCATATACCCAAAAATCTGTTCAGGAATCACTTATATTATGTGAAAATGTGTAGATTAAGCAGATTTTTAGATGCTTCTATCAATATGTCCTTGAAATTGAAAGGCGAATCAACAGGATGGCCTTGTAAATGTATGATAAAAGACCTACCGTTTTATGTCATTGGCCCAGTGGGATTGTCAATTGCTTAAAACTTGATCTGATTAAAAAATATCGACGATTCCACAAGTTACGTACTCCACTGCTCAGCCCATTTGGTGACAAAAAGGTTAGGACAAAACCTCCTTAAGAAATCCCATCAAAGGCACAACAAAGAAGGTGGTTGTCCCAGCAGAAGGAGCCTGGCCTCTTCAAGTTTAGGACAATCCGGCCAACCTGGCAGTTGGTTCTTGTAAATATTGTTTAGCTGCACTTTACATTGACCACCATAGACAAGCTTCTTCTTCTTCTGAGGCCTATAAAAGCCTTAGGATTAACAAAGATCGTGTAAACAATAAACTAGATTTTGCAGAGTAAAAATATACTGAGTTTTGTTATGGAAAAGATAAGCTGTGTTTCTTACTTTGCTCTTGCAGTCCTTTGCTTATCCACATTGTCCTTTGGCAAGGCCAGTGCCAAAGTTCCTGCCTTGTTCATATTTGGAGACTCAACAGCTGATGTTGGGACCAACAACTTCTTGCCTGAGAGCCAGGCCAGAGCAGACCACCCCTTCTATGGGATAGACTTTCCCAACTCTACACCAACTGGGAGGTTCAGCAATAGCTTCAATAGTGCTGATTTTCTGGGTTCGTATAGCATTAATTGTCTATTTGTTTGTTATCTGTTTCAGTTTTCATTTTCCGTATTTTCAGAAATTAGAAACACCGAAAGTATTGAAAACTCTATTTTTTGTGTATTATTTTGATTTTCAAGAAAAAAAATAATTTATAAGAATTCTTAAAACAGTTTTTTTCCTTAAAAAAGGTTGCGTTTTCTGAAGATTCTGCGGCAAACAGTTTTCACAAACACCCTTGAAAATGGACAGTTTTCAGAAATACCCTTGAAAAATGGGTTTTCCTGTTTTCAAAAACAAATCCAATCAGGATCACTTGCATACGAGCAATTTGCAAATACTCGCACTACTAGCTTAAGCTAACTAAATTTTGTTTATCTTCATTGATTAACCAAGCTCATGGGCTTCAGAAGAAGCCCTCCACCTTTCTTGTTTCTTCTCAGTAAGCACTTGGGCATAGAAAAACATGCACACAAAGGAGTAAACTTTGCTTCAGGAGGAGCTGGCCTACTTGACATTACCGGACAATTACTGGTGTTGCCCCTTTGCCTTCTTGATATCTTCTAGCCATCCTTATTTTTTTATTTTTTTTTTTCCATGCATTCTACAGCTGGAGGGGGAAAAAACTTCATTAACTTTTTTCAGAAATTAGAGACAAACGAAGCTCGCCTGTGGGTAACAAGTGACTCTTTGGCAAATTGAATGGTGATGAAAGTTCAAATTACGTATTAGAAAAGAAAAAGAAAAAGAAGACGTGGCTTATCTGCCACTGCCAATGGGGTATTACTATGTTAAAATTGATAGTGTTCAATTCAAGCACTCGGTCTCTGCTGTGCAATGGAACAGCAGGTTGTCCCATTGTCAGAACAGATCGAGCAATTTGTCACAGTTCACAACAATCTAACAGCCCTCAGGGTTCAAAGGCAACAGGGAAACTGCTCTCAAAATCCATCTTCTGCATCAGCGTCGGAAGCAATGACATCTTCGGTTACTTTCTCAGCAACTCCAGTATCCCTAAGAAACAATTCTTCTCTACTCTGTTGTGCCAGTACGAGGCTGACGTAAAGGTGAATCTTTTAATTCCATTGGCAAGTTGATTAATGGGGAGTCTGGTAGATCAGCGTTTTAAAACTGTGTGTCAGGATATTAAGCTTAAGAATCCCAAGAAACCAAAAGCTAAGAATTTCACAGCTTGTAGGCTTAAGCCTAAAGGGCTGTAAAGTGCTAGCTTTTTGCTTCTGGCTTCGGTGACTTACAGTAGCTGATGTGATGATAGGTATTGGAGGCTCTGTACAGACTTGGAGCAAGAAAATTTGGCATTATAAGCATTCCACCAGTTGGATGCTGCCCATCTTAGATAGGACTGTTCAAAATTGATGTGGACCGATTGGACTTACCCAAACTAAATCGAACCGACCAAAAATTGATTAAAATTGAAAATAATTAGTTTAATTTAGTTTTAAAAAATTATGAACCGATAAGTACGGTTCGGTTTCAGTTTTACTAAAAAAGAAAATTGAACCGAACCAATTTTGAGGAGAAAAAATGATTCTTACTCAAACTTATATATAACTCAACTATTTTCAAATTTCTAAAAAAAATTATACATACATATATATGTGTGTGTATGTGTGTGTGACAGATCCAGCCTTTTCGTCCAGTGATCCAGCTAGAGACTGGCTTTTGCCCAGCACCTATGAGCTCTCAATGATAGGCTTTCTCTCTTCAAACCCAAACGGAGCTCACTGGTTCAACCTCGTCTTGCCAACCTTTGCTGGGTCTCTCATTCTCTCTCTCTCTCTCTCTCTCTCTGCACAATGAAAACCAAATTTAAAATTTCACAAGGAAAGAGGAATATTTGGTTGGTAGAAAATGAATTCTATCCTAATTTTTTAATGTCTCTCTACTGGATTTACAATCATATATATAAGAGAGGACGGCTCCCTCCATACACAATTTCCATGCAAATGATGATGGGATTTTGTAACAAGTGTCTATGAGCAATTCACAAAATGTACAAAACAATCACGCAAGGCACAACAATTTTTACGTGGAAAACTCATTCAATGTGAAGGATAAAAACCACGGGACCTCTATCTGCTCCAAGGAAAAACTCCACTATCAAATTATTAGTGTTTACAGCAATTAAAATCTGCCACAACAAATCCACAACCAAAATCTCAATCACACTTTAAAACATTCAAGAGATAGCAAGGTTATGGAAAGACATTACCAAAGGCAGTTACTGTCAACACAATCTGAGCATCTTCTAGTTGTTCAAATACAATCTCCACCGTTCAAAACAAAGAACAATAAGTCCAAAACGTGCCTTCCAAAAATCAGCTCAATTGGACCACAAATGACCTTGCGATCGGCAAAGATGATGAAACTGGTTTTCTGACAAAGCAACCTGAAAACAGATTACGTTCGAGCAATCTAAATCCAATGATTCCCACACCAAATCCAATCTCCACTATTCATAATCAAGAACCACAAGTTAAGAACAGCCACTCCAAATTTGAGCTCGATCCAACGGTGAACGAACTCGCAAACAGAAAAGAAGTGAACTGAATACAGAAAAATTTACAGAAGAAACCCAGAAAGCGATTTCTGTAAATTACCCAAAACATGATGATTTCATGTCTCCACCCGCTCAGATTGAAGAGAAAAGGATGAAGAACACCCAGTCCAAATTTCAGGTCGATCTAATGGTTAACGAATTCACAAATTCAAATTCAATGAGCTGAAAGGTTGAAGAAAATTTTTTTTTCTCTCTCTTGGTGAGTTGCACGGCGCCTCCAACCTTCAGATGAGCTACAGTTTTTCCACACGCCCTAAAACACACCGAAAAACAATATATATACAAGGGTTTAAAACCCTAGTGGGACCCACAAATATATATATATATTTTGTTTTAATTCCCCTCACATAGGAGGGAACCCAACAAATTCTCCCCTTCCTGACTATGTGGAGGAAAGCCCCAAACCGGCAATCAAACAACATGTCTTAAACTCAGTTCTTGGAAGAACTTTTGTGAACATATCAGAACCATTATCATCAGTGTGTATCTTTTCAAGTTCAAGCAACTTGGAATCCAAAACATCTCGAATCCAATGATATCACACATCAATGTGTTTGGATCTAGCATGAAAAGTAGGATTCTTACCAAGATGAATTACACTTTGACTATCACAATATAAGACATATTGTTGTTGAGTGAGTCCAAGTTCATTCACAAATTTCTTCATTCAAAGTAACTCTTTGCAAGCTTCAGTAACTGCAATAAACTTAGCCTCTGTGGTAGACAATGCAATATATTTTTGCAATCTGGATTGCCATGCCACTGCTTCCCCTGCAAAAGTAATCAAATACCCAGAAGTAGATTTTCTAGATCAATATCCCCTGCCAAATCAGAATCTATATAACCAGTGAGAACAGGTTTGTCAGTTCCAAAACACAACTTCAAATCAAAAGTACCACAGAGATATATTAAAATCCATTTGACTGCATTCCAATGCTCCTTTCCTAAATTAGATAGAAATTTACTTACTGTACCAATTGCGTGGGCTATATTTGGTCTAGTACAAACCATAGCATACATCAAACTCCCTATTGTAGATGCATAAGGAGTTCTTTGCATATTTGCTTTTTCTTGCTCACTAGAAGGTGACTGTTTGACACTCAATTTAAAAGATGTGTTAAGAGGAGTACTTATAACTTTAACCTTTTCCATATTAAACCGCTGTAATACCTTCTCAAAGTATTGCTCTTGAGACAACCACAGTTTCTTGCACTTTCTATCACGGATGATCTTCATACCAAGAATATGCTTTGCTGGTCCTAAATCTTTCATTGCAAAAGATTTACTCAACTCTTTCTTTAAACTATCAATCCTAGAAGAGTTAGGACCTACAATGAGCATGTCATCAACATATAACAATAAAATGATAAAGTTATCATCAGAGAATTTTTGCACAAAAACACAATAATCAGAAGTAGTCTTCTTATACCCTTATTGTATCATAACTGACTCAAACTTCTTATGCCATTGTCTAGGTGCCTGTTTTAAACCGTACAAGCTCTTTTTCAATTTGCAAACATAATTCTCTTTTCCTTTATCGCAAAACTTTCAGGTTGTTCCATGTAAATTTCTTCCTCTAAGTCACCGTGGAGGAAAACTATTTTCACATCCATTTGTTCAACTTCTAAATCAAGACTTGCATCTAAACTCAAAATAACTCGAATGGATGACATTTTAACAACTGGTGAGAAAATTTCATCAAAGTCAATGCCCTTTTTCTGATTAAAACCTTTAACAACTAACCTGGCTTTATACTGTGGACATGAGGAATTTTCTTCATGTTTCACCCTATAGACCCACTTGTTCTTCAAGACTTTTCTACCTTTAGGAAGCTTAACCAGTTTAAAGGTATGATTATCAAGCAAAGACTGCATTTCATCCTTCATAGCTATAACCCATTCTGTCTTATGCTCACTTTCAATAGCCTCTTGAAAACATTCAGGTTCATCTCTATCTGTCAATAATACATACTCATTAGGAGGATATTTAAAAGAAGGTCTGCGATTTCTAGTAGATCTTCACAATGGAGCTTCATGGTGCTCAACATGTGTCTTTTGTTGGTTATCAACTACTTCATGTACAGGAGCATTTATCTCATCTGCAACTTTATGTTCATCCTCAGCTTGATCATTCTGAATATCATTTTGCACAGTGACTAGATCCTGGATCTCAACTTCATTGGGCACAGTTATTGTAGGAGTTGAATTTAAGTCAATCAAACTATCATCTTAAGTCTTTAACTTCTCTGTCTTGTCAATATCTTCAATAGTCTGATCCTCTACAAAGATCACATCACGGCTTCTGATAACTTTCTTTTCAATTGGATCATAACACCTATAACCAAATTCATCTTGGCCATTTCCAATGAAAACACATTGTCTTGTCTTAGCATCTAATTTAGACCTTTCATCTCTAGGAATATGCACAAAACATTTGTATCCAAATACCCGTAACTGGTCATAAGAAACATTCTTACCATGCCACACACTGTCAGGAACATCAGCATCCAATGCAACAGTGGGAGTTAGATTAATCATATGTGCAATGGTGTACAAGGCCTCACCCCAAAAAGATCTAGGCAATTTTGCATCTGAAAGAATATATCTAACTCTCTCTACCAATGTTCTGTTCATTCTTTCTGCCAAGCCATTTAACTGAGGAGTCTTAGGAGGTGTTTTTTGATGTTTGATACCTTGCTCTCAACAATATGCATCAAAAGGCCCACAGTATTCACCACCATTATCCGTACGAATACATTTCAACTTCTTCCTGGTCTCTCTTTCAGCAGAAGCTTGAAATTGTTTAAATGCATCAAGTACTTGATCCTTTGATTTCAAAATACGAACCCATAATTTCCTGGAGTGATCATCAATAAAAGTCACAAAATAAAGTGCACCACTAAATGACTTTAACTTCAAAGGACCACAAACATCTGAATGTACCAACTCAAGCAAATCATTTTTCCTAGAAGGAGGATGGTGTTTGAAAGAAACCCTTTTTTATTTTCCAATCAAGCAATGTTCACATCTGTCTAATTTTGCACCTTTCAACCCTGAAAGCAAATTCTTCTTAGCCAGACAATCAAGTCCTTTCTCACTGATGTGACTCAACCTCTTATGCCATAATTCAGAAAAGTAATTACTTTCAACTGCATTCACAAGACTGTTAGAGATTGAAGCTTGCAACCAGTACAAACCTGAAGATTTCTTCCCTTTAGCCACAACCAAAGAACCTTTAGTGAGTTTCATTTGCCCACCATTAAAAATGCTGCAATAACCATCATCATCAAGCTTATTAGCGGAAATTAAATGTAGTCGAATATCAGGTGCATGTTTAACATCCTTAAGAACTAACTTTGTCCCATTGTTGGTCTCTAGACAAATAGTTCTAGTGCCTACTACCTTTGATAATCCATCATTACCCATCTTTAAGACCCAAAATCACTTGGAGTGTAAGATGTAAAGAATTCCTTCCTTGATGTAACATGAAAGGAAGCACCACTATCAACTACCCAATTGGTTTCATCACTAGCAACATTAATCATATCTTTATCATCACAAACAATAATAAGATCACCTGTAGTGGTGGCATTAACACGGTCATCATTATCATCGTTGCCTTTCCTTTCTTGCTTGCCTTTATTAGCTTTATTTTCTTTCTTTCACTTGAAACAATATTTCTTGATGTGCCCTGTTTTACCACAATAATAATATTCAAGATTTTTATACCTTGACCTTGATTTGCTTATACTTTTGCTTCTGCTATGTTGACTTTGACCCTTGCTTTTACTTCTCCCTCTATTTTCAGTAACCAACACCTCTGACTGCGATGAGAAACTTTGAGACTTCCTTCTCATCTTTTCATTTAAGACACGTCCCTTAGCAACATCAAAGGAAACAACACCATTAGGAGCTAAATTAGTAAGTGAAACCCGAAAGGTCTCCCAAGAATCAGGAAGAGTATTAAGTAACCAGAGTCCAAGAATCTCATCATCAAATTTAATTCCCATATTAAACAACTGATCTACAGTTCTTTGAAACTCATTCAGATGATCAGCAACAGAACTACCTTCTCTATAATTCAACTGCATCATTTTTTTCAATAAATACAATTTGTTATTACTACTCTTTGAAGTATACAAAGATTCTAACTTGTTCCATAATGCTCTAGCATGCTTTTAATTGCAAATATGATTGAAAACATTATTATCCACAACCTGTCGAATAAACCCATATACTTCCTCATGCTCAAAACTCCATTCTTCATCACTTTTAGATTCCGGTTTTTGAGTAGCAAATATAGGTAAATGCAGTGACTTCACAAATAGAAGGTCTTTCATCTTATTTTTTCACAAGTGATAATTTGTGCCATTCAAGCAAATCATTCTGCTTGTATTAACCTCCATCTTTTGCTCAAGACAACTAATTAACCAAGCTCTGATACCAGTTTGATGGGATTTTGTAACAAGTGTCTATGAGCAATTCACAAAATGCACAAAACAATCACACAAGGCACAACAATTTTTACATGGAAAACTCCTTCAATGTGAAGGATAAAAACCACGGGACCTCTATCCGGTCCAAGGAAAAACTCCACTATCAAATTATTAATGTTTACAACAATTAAAATCTGCCACAACAAATCCACAACCAAAATCTCAATCACATTTCAAAACATTCAAGAGATAGCAAGGTTAGGAAAAGACATCACCAAAGGCAGTTACTGTCAACACCATCTGAGCATGTTCTAGTTGTTCAAATACAATCTCTACTGTTCAAAACAAAGAACAATGAGTCCACAACGTGCCCTCCAAAAATCAGCTCAATCGGACTACAATGACCTTGTGATCGGCAAAGATGATGAAACTGGTTTTCTGACAAAGCAACCTGAAAACAGATTACGTTTGAGCAGTCTAAACCCAATGATTCCCACCACCAAATCCGATCTCCACCGTTCAGAATTAAGAATCACAAGTTAAGAACAGTCACTCCAAATTTGAGCTCGCTCCAACGGTGAACGACTCGTAAACAGAAAAGGAGTGAATTGAATACAAAACAATTTACAGAAGAAACCCAAAAAATGATTTCTGTAAATTATCCAAAACTTGATGATTCCAAATCCAAACAAGATCTCCACCGTTCAGATTGAAGAGAAAAGGATGAAGAACACCCAGTCCAAATTTCAGATCAATCCAACGGTTAACGAATTCGCAAATGTAAATTCAATGAGCTAAAAAGTTGAAGAAAAATTTTTTTTTTCTCTCTTGGTGAGTTGCATGGTGCCTCCAACCTTCAAATGAGCTACAGTGTTTCCACACGCCCTAAAACACACCGAAAAACAATATATATACAAGGGTTTAAAACCCTAGTGAGACCCACAAATATATATATATATATTGTTTTAATTCCCCTCACATAGGAGAGAACCCAACAAATGACCCACTACCTAATATTGTGTGAGAGTGAGAGCGTATATGGGAAGCTTCTCTTGGAAGCTAAATACAAGTTGTGAGGCACACATCTCATCCCATTTAATTTATAAGCTTTAGCCATGATTGGCCTACTCTACAAGGTGGCAGCTGGAAACTGTTGCTTGGGCGGGAATTCAATTTCTTCATGCAAGACAACTTCTTCCGTTTTTATATTTGTGCGTCCAAAATTTCACTCTCCCACCCTTCTAGCATGAATTGAATTACGAAACTTCCGTCCCTTGGTAAACTGACTTCTGTTGCTCGTACTGATTAGTCCCGACTTGTTGGCTGGGTTTCTCAGCTTGCTGATGAGGACATATGTATGATAGATATAGTTTAAAGATGGGCTTTCTTTGCCATGTTCTGTTGCTGGTCAGGCTTCTCTTCGAGCCCCTTTTGCTTTGTTGTCTCATCCCAAAAACAATAAAAGAAAACATTGATGTTGGACCTGCATCAAGCATTTGAAGGGAGAGAACCAGACCTATCAAGTCAACTGAATCAAAGCAACTTAAGTTAATTTGGTTTGGTTCAATTTTTTGTAGATACAAAACCGATAATGTCTAAAAAAATTTATAATCAACGTGTTTGGTTTGGTTTGGTTTAGAAAATGTTCAAAACTGAACCGAACCTTTGAACACCCCCAATCTCCGAGACTTTTCAATTTCACCGGGGGTTGTCTGGAGCCAGTGAACGAGCTTGCCCAGGATTTCTATTCAGCACTTGATGACCTCTTGTGCCGCCTGTTCAGAGCTTCAGGAGATGAAGTACTCACTGGGAAACGCGTACGAAATGACCATAAATGTCATACAAAATCCCCATCCCTTCAGGAAGCAACCTCCTCTAAAACTAAAAAGTTAATACATTTTTGAAGAGCATCTGGGGATCTTTTACAGTCATAGCAAAATATATACATAAAATATATACATACCTTGATGTATATACTTCAATTTTCTTTTGTCAATTTTAAAGCTCTTTTAATTCTTATAGTATAATAGTATCACTAGGCGAAATTCGAAATTCCGAATAGAATTCTAAATTTTTCAAGATTTGTGGGAGCAAAACCCTTAATGGAAAATGGTGACGGTTTTATTATTCTTTAACCTTTCATCAAAATTTCCCAGATTTTAACAGTGTGGAAACTGTTTGCTGTGGAGTTGGAAGGTTTAACGCAGAGCTTCCTTGTAATGCGACGGCAAAACTTTGTAAGACCCGCAACAATTTCGTGTTCTGGGACATGTTTCATCCAACACAAGCTGCCTTTCAGCTGACTGCTGTGATCCTCCATGATGGTGAAGCTAGGTTCGTTGCCCCAGTCAACTTTCGTAAACTAACTGAAGACTGTTAGACAACAGACTCTCCTTGATCGGCCCTATCTTATGCTTAAGATCATTGAGTGTATCCAAATAAGTGATCTTCATTGAGAATCTGAGATTATATGCTCCTATTGGTCTAAATCTTCTATTTGTATTCGGTTTCATATATATATTTTCAGTTTACAATCCCAGCAATCTCATTTGGATTGATTTATTATTCTTATTACTAATTATAACTATCTTTTGGTGAGACATGGGCTTAGAGTAAAGTAGAGAAGTGTAATTGAAGAGAAAACAAACTGATTTTCAAAATATTTTTTTTTTTTCAAAATTCATAAAATTTTGTCCCAAGTTATTGTTGGAAACTGCAGACAGGATCAGCTGTCCGAAATGAGGCAGCTCTGCAACTAGTCATGCTAAGTATCCTCCTCTGCTCACCATTTAGGGCTCAGAAAAATCTTTCTTTTTTTTCTCTCTCCTCAAAATGTTGCCACACACACTGGTTCTGAGCCAATTGATATTTCCAATCATTGCAGGCCCATCATATTGCCTGCTTATGCCACAAAGTAGAATTACGACTGTATTCTGGATATTGGAGGGTTTTGCTGTTCTTATTAAGTTAATGCTTTTGCTTTGTTAACTTGAAAACAGAATTAGGTGTCAAATTAATTGTTCTAGAAGGGATTTTCAGCATTTAAATACTTGATCAATCGGACAAGAGTAGGACAGAAACCGGCTTCAAACTTGTTCCATTTTTTCATTTATGAACAGAACAAGCCATTAGCAAGAGAGTTCAAACAAAGACACAGCTGAACAAAGGATTCCAAAGTAAAAACAGCAGAACACTAAATGGTGATAGTGATCGACTTTCATTAGTTTAATCCAAATTGCTGCGCCACAACATGATTACACAAATAATGAAGCTTATATTCAACTTATGCCCGATTGATTTGCTAGCAGGCAAAATATAATAGAAGAAGAAATATACAGTTGACCTATTTTCTAGAGCTGTTTACAAGGGTTTTTCTTTTTCCTTTTCTTTATCCCCATGATGAAGCCATCCTATGCAATAAAAGTAGTAATGATTATGACTGGAAACCATCAAATTTACAGCCTCTTGCCTGGCACAACTAACCGTCTTCTGTACTGAGAGTTCCATTAGAATCCAAGTCCTCTTGTAAACCTGTTTCAGTTTTGGGGCTAATCCCATTAAGAAGCTCCTCCCTCTTCCTCTGCATCTTCGGACAGTGCTCTGGCTTCTCCAACAACTGAAGAATCTGCCAAACAAAACAGCACTCTGAGATACTCGTATCATTTTTTTTCTTCAGAGAAGTGGAGAATATGTGGTGTGTTTGTTAAAATGATTGGTAGAAAAGAATAAAATTTACAGTTTCTATGGTTGGTCTTCTTGAAGACGAATGCAAGAGGCAGAGCCGTGCTACAATCATCATCCTTGTCATCTCATCCTTGTCGTAGTCTTCATTCAGGTAAGGATCAATCAGTCGTTCACTCAGACCAAAGCAGAGCAAAGATCTTGCCTGCAAATCAGGTGGTTCTTAGATTCTCTATAAAAAAATAATAAATTATAAAGTCAAAAAAGAAAGGGGTTTAAAAGAAGTTTGCTTGGAACCCAAGATGTGGATCCGGGGATATTCTAAATTCATAAATTTAGATTGGAATGAGTCCTAATGTCGTGTTCTATTACCCAAAGTACGAAGTTTTCTGGATTAGATGCTTTGTTGGTCTGGATTGCCCATTTTCCGCTGATCAGCTCCAGAAGCACAACCCCATAAGAGTAGACATCTATTTTCTCATCAACTTTGCCATACATCACGTACTCCGGCGCCAAGTGCCCGAAGGTCCCAAAGACTTGAAACGGCTTCGTATACCCTGAAAGTTGCCTGCTGTGATCGTATGCCATTGCTGCTCCAAAATCTGACAACTGCGGATGAAAAAAACCAATTCATGAAGACCCAATTTAGCTTACTTTTAATTCGAAGCTCCAAGTGTTTGGTTCGGTCAAAAAATCCAACATTTTTAGGGGCTGTTTGGTTTCACATTTGAAAAAAGGAAAAAAATTCAGCCAAAAAACCTCAAACAAAGGTATTTTAAAAAAGTTTGCTGGGCTTTTACTGAAAAATAAGCTGGGTTTTTCAAATTTTTCAAGAAACTTACTTGTGGATGGCAATTATCAGAGAGCAAAATGTTGGATGACTTCACATCTCGGTGAATCACTGGAGGTGAGCGAGAATGGAGATACTCCAGTGCCTTGGCCACTCCAATTGCCACTCTCATCCTCTCCCTCCACTTCATCCTTCCCAGCCTCTGCTTCAAGCTCCCGTTCAGAAAATTATAAACGATTGCATTCATTCCCTTGCCATAACAGTATCCAAAAAGTTGAACCACATTCTCATGCTTCAACCCACTCAGAGTCTCCACCTCACTGAAAATAGAAGTGACAATTTGGGTTTTCTTTTTTATGTTTTTATCTTAATTCAGACTAGATAAAAATCTAAAGATTTACTAAAAGATTAATTGTTCATTTGCAATAATAAAGTTAATCCAGTCAGGTTTCATATCAAACGAGATCTTGTAAAGACTCGTATTGGCAGAGCCACATTTATTTTCAGAAACAGTACGATTTAATATCACTTGTTGTCTTCACTTGGCAAAAGTTGTGCAATCGTATCAACTTCAACATTGTCTTCTCTACCTGAACAGATCATCTAAAGAGGACTCGGTGTCCTTCAAGACTTTCACCGCGGCGGCCCGCCCGTCCTCCAGCTCCGCCAGGTAGACCCGGCTGTTCCGTCCCTCTCCAATGACCATATCCTGGCTGAATCCATTAGTTGCAGAACTTAGCTCCTCCGAGGTGAATCTTCTCCCTGAACCCTTAATTTCCAGCATTGCAAGTCCCTGAAACAGCTTCTGGGTCATCAAGTTTGGGACTACGAGGTCCTGTTTTCTGGTGCTTTGGGGTTTTAGTTGGTATGACGATAAGTTGGAGGAAGACGGCATTGTGAGGGACTTTTGGATCTGAGGCCTGGATGTGTCTGACTGGTCAGAGCCGTTGTTGTACTGCGAAATTGAGGAGAGAGAAGAGCGAAGAACTCTCACTGGAGTCACAGACCCTTCCTGCGACGTCCCCTGCCTCTGCACCAAAATTCTTGCTGCACTATCCATCACCAGAAGAGAGCATGTGGGTGGCAGGGCTTTCAAAAATTCTGAAACCATCGAATTTTTGGTCCTATACAACAAACAATTATTTCACTACCTACATATATGTAGAATCCATAGATTTGTGGAGAGAGAGAGAGAGAGAGGGATAGTGATCAGTTCTCATTACCCTGGGTAGCTGCACCCAACCGCCAGAATGGTTGCAAAGTTGATTCGAACTTGGTGGGCCAGTTGACGGACATATGAACCTCCTCCACAGGCCTTAACTTGGAAGTCTACCTGCATATAAAGGCAACTCACCGGAATTTGGAAAGAAAGAGAGAAAGATAATTGTTTTTTCTCTTTCAAATTATTGATCTGGATTAAATTTTTTTTACACAAAAAAAAAGAGTGAAGAAGAATAGAAATTACAATATTTTCTGTTCATTCCTTTCTCTCTTCGTTAAAAGAGATCATTATCCGTCCTTTGCTTTCTCTTTCTACTTACCCAAACACCGCCTAAGATAGAAGACATAGATAATCATATTTATCCAAGAATTAACGCTATGGGAGTTGGGTAATAGTCCTATTAATCATCTCAATGGAGAAAGGAAAGCTAAGGACCTGCTTGGACTTGCAGAGGTCTTCATGGATATGGAAATAATTGGGATCGAAAGAATCATCCGACTCCATCACATGAACCGCCAGCACATTATCGCCAGGAACCACCACCGAGGTGAGCAGCATCAACAGAAGCTCCCTGCCGGAATTATCGGAGCTGAGGCCGACCACCACCGTCCTCTTATTTTTCTCCGACCTGGTCCTAAGCAAAGACGACAACACCCCTCTGCTGCACTTGTGGCCTCCTCTGGGCATCCTCGCCAATTATCATGCGTACTCTCAATTGTCTTCTGCTGCCAACCCATTACTTTGTGCCACCCTAGGTTGTTCCTTGGCCACTCGCCGTTGCCTCTTTCTTCATTTACTATGACAGCTACTTAAGGGGTCGAGCATTTACACAGGGCCAACACGACGAAGTTGTACAATGAAAGTATAATTTTTGCACCAAATATACTGGGAGCTCCAGACTATCCGAAGAACGATCCTGCATTCATTTCTTCATTCTTCGGCAAACAAAACGTGGTGCCAGCTTCACCAGTGACTATGAAGCTACTAAAGAAGGCAGGTTATTTTATCTTTCGGTTGGCTCACCATTAAGTTCGCATTATAAAGAGTCTGTATCATACTGGTCGAATATATTTTCAGTATCTTTTTTGTGTGTGTCTATATATATATATATATATATATATATATTTATTGGTTACAATGGGGGCGGAAACTCATAGAAAATAATCAATAACTGGTTGAACACTATTTTGATTTGAATGAGAAGAGAATTTAGTCCTTAGTACCAGGCTCTTGAGCTAAACAATCTCTTGAGCTCTTGAGTTAAACCCATCCTAACCAAACAATCCACACAGTCATCAACATGTTTAAACATGCGTTTAATTCCAACTTGTCAATCTTGCTGGAAGAAGGATCTTATTCGAATCATAATAGGGGCACAAATACTAACCCTTTGCTGATTCCCTCGAACATATTTATAAAAATGTTAGAGTCCACCTCTAAAATAATCTTTCAAAAGTCTAGGTCTAGTCTCAAGGCCATTCTCAAGCCTCTTAGGCTCTCCAAATCTTGGCTTAAGACACCATCAACGAATTTGGAAAAGTTTCTAATCCAATTTCTTTCATAATTACGAAAAAGACCCTCACACCTAACCAAATGTTTTCTAAGATTGACTGCGCCATCTATATTAAGTGTGACCCAATCTAAATCTAGAGGGAACCATGCATGAAGCCGGAGTTCTGTTGTAATGTATATTAATAACATACATAATTAAAAACATTTGAACGGAGGAAGAAAATTGGGATTGTATTGAATTTCTCTGTTTAATGAGCTTATTTGATTTTAATATCAATTATTTGGAAACTAATTCAAGTCAATTTAATTCCAAATCTACATTTAGACCAAAATGGGTCAAAGTAAGAAATTTTGTAAGATGAATTTTCTCTAAATTTTTTTTTTCTTGTTTGAGATGGAGCAAGTGTAGTCCTTAGTAGTTTGACTTTGACACCACTATAATGAATGGAATACAGCCGGTATACTCCTTAAACAGTTCGGCTTTGACATCGCTTTAATGAATGAGATGGTTAGGCATCTCTGCTTTGCTTGCATAAATGGTGGCACATGAATGGCATACGCACAAGTAATATGAGAAACTTTGACGAATTCTAATGTGATAAATCCATTAGCAGGTAAGACTTGTCCTGCCTAGTGAGGGAAAAAAGTCCTGTTACTAAGTTACTAGGAAGCACCTTGCTTTGCTCTAACTGCTTGTTCCCTTCCACTACTTCAATAATTTAAAATTCAAGTATTTAAGGTGGTGTATAGTATTTTTGTTGATACAACAAGAACATGAATAAAAATTAAAGAAAATGGATATTTTTATGAGAATATTTGATAGATATTAATAAAATGAAATTTTTTATTTTATAATTATGTTTAGTATATTAGAACAAAAGTAAAAAAGAAAATAAAAAATTATTCAAAGATAAAAATGTCTAAAAAAAAGAAGAAATTAGTATTTTAAAGTCTAAAAAAATTACATATTAAATTTTCAAAAATCCCATTTTAGAGATTTAAAGAGCAAAAAAAAAAAACTTAATAAGACTTTTAAAGTCTAGAATCTCAATAATTTCATAAATGTCAATATTCTTATAAGTCCAATTGATTAAATTCTCAAAATTCAAAATTATGCCAAATAAATGCAAATATTCTGGTAAGTCCATTCCCTTTCTGGTTTTTAACTTGATAATGTTCTTGGTATTTGTGTCGCATGACTTGATTGTAATGGGTAGTAGTAGGTCAGGTTATTGAATAAGGCAATCAAGAGGGGCTTAACCCTCAGTAATGTTGCAGCTAGCAAACAAAAACCGCTTTCACATGGACCCTCAAGGAAGATAACTAAGCAGTTTCCTTCCCTTTTTTTGGCTTTTCCAGTTTTTTTTTTTAATTTTTTTTTGGTAATGGCTTTTCCAGTTTTAAATATAACCAAACCTAACCACCCGCGGTCGAGCTCAGATCACCGACAAAACATAAATAAATAAATACAAATACACAATAATTCACCATCGTTCTATCTCGGCATCTAAAGCACAGAACTCTCAAAAAGGAGGGAGGAGGAGGGAGGGTGTGGGGGAAAATTGAGAATTCGAACTCTCACATTTAACCAGAAAGTGACCGATCAAACAGTTAAAATTGTAGAACAGCAATCACCAGCCGGCGCTCAATCCTTCCAATTTCATTGCCCAAGCAACAATTGCTGAAAAGAAAGAGACAGCACACCAATCAACCATAATTAAGAAAAATCCGTACAACAGGCCACAGCCATCCTCCCTGCTTCAAGTAGGCAACCAAATTAATTGAACTTCAATACCACCTTTCACCTTCTCTTTTTTTTTCACCCTCTTTTCTTTTACTTTTAACATCAAAAAGACCACCTTGCCTCCAGCTCAATCTTTTTGTCTGGTAATGGGTAGGATATGACAATTCAACCGCATCCACCAACAGATAAGATCTTGCCATGGCTTGCCACCCTCTAGCTTAAAAAAAAAAAAAAAAAAGGACATATACTTCACCAGCAACAAGCAAAAGACTTGCAGAGACAATCTATATACCAAATCTATCTCGATCTAGGCCAATCACTAACAGGCTCTCATCTAAAGTCTATAAGACTGACTGACAATGCGTTAACAAGTACATGAAAACCAACCCGTAAAGGTGACGTGTAAGCTTCTTAGTCCTTAGTACACGCTACATGTTAGAAATATATAAACAGAAGGCTTGAAACCGTAATAATATTGTTTTAAAAGATTTTTTGTTTGATCTCAAAGAGAAGAAAAAGACAAAAATCTTTCGGGATATAACAAGTTTTGTATGGCTTAGTATATTTATAAATTCGAAAAACCACTTCCAACAGTTATTTGCAAAACAAACAGTCAAATTATTTAAAAATAATTAAATAATTTTTTATATTAATTTGAAAAATAAAATAAATAAAGAGAATTATTAATCTTTTTTAATTTAAACTAGACCAAGCTCAAGTCATTTAATGTATATATGAATATACATATATGGATTATGTGGGCCCCACACAATAGTCTATTTAATAAACTAATACATTTAAAAAGAGATGGGCCATATTAATAAAGTCACTTGACTTTTTCTAATTTTCTAACGTGGGATTTTATTCCTATATCACAAACTATTCAATACTACATGCAATAATTAATATTAATAACAAGAAGAAGAAGATTCCAATCCAGCACAGCACAAAAAAAAAAAAAAAAAAAATAAGACCTCCCCCCAGTGGTTATCGTATCTCCAAGGTCATATTGTTTTTAAACCCGAGCTCTACCTATCCGCTAATTCAAATGTCAAAAATTGATGTAACAAAATTCAACCAATATCTGCTTTAACTTGTTCTGTGTTGAGGCAAACGTATACATGTCACTTCATGGACCCTAGCTGCCTGGTTCGTCCTTTCCTCTACTAATTTTGATCTAGGTCTAGCAACCCAATTTATGGTGCGTTCTCGACCTAGATCACTATTTGTAATGTTCCGAATTCACTTTAGCCATTTTTAATTTATTTGACTCATAACACTAAATGGTGGTAGTGATCAACTTTCATTAATTAATGCAAAGTGCTGCGCCACGACATGATTACACAAATAATGAAGCTTATATTCAACGTATGCCCGATTGATTTGGTAGCAGGCAAAATATAATAGAAGAAGAAATATACAGTTGACCTATTTTCTAGGGCTGTTTACAAGGGTTTTTCTTTTTCTTTTTCTTTTTCTTTATCCCCATGATGAAGCCATCCCATGCAATAAAAGTAGTAGTGATTATGATTGGAAACCATCAAATTTACAGCCTCTTGCCTGGCACAAGGAACCGTCTTCTGTACTGAGAGTTCCATTAGAATCCAAGTCCTCTTGCAAACCTGTTTCAGTTTTGGGGCTAATCCCATTAAGAAGCTTCTCCCTCTTCCTCTGCATCCGCAGACAGTGCTCTGGATCCTCCAACAACTGAAGAATCAGCCAAACAAAACAGCACTCTGAGACACTCGTATCATTTTTTTCCTCAGAGAAAAGGAGAATTTGTGGTGTTCTTCTTAAAATCATTGGTAGAAAGGAATAAAGTTTACAGTTTTCATAGTTGGTCTTCTTGAAGACGAATGCAAGAGGCAGAGCCGTGCTACAATCATCATCCTTGTCATCTCATCCTTGTCGTAGTCTTCTTTCAGGTAAGGATCAATCAGTCGTTCACTCAGACCACAGCAGAGCAAATATCTTGCCTGCAAATCAGGTGGTTCTAAGATTCTCTTTAAATAATAATAATAAAAAAAAAAAATTAATGTAAAAAGGAGTTAAAAAGAAGACGTGGAGCCGGTGATATTCTAAATACGTTAACTTAGGATAAATTTAGATTGAAATGAGTCCCATGTCATGTTCTGTTACCCAAAGTACTAAGCTTTCCGGATTAGATGCTTCGTTGGTCTGGATCGCCCAATTTCCGGTGATCAACTCCAGATGCACAACCCCAAAGAGTAGACGTCTATTTTCTCATCAACTTTGCCATACATCATGTACTCCGGGGCCAAGTACCCGCAGGTCCCAACGACTCGAAACGGTTTCGTGTACCCTGAAAGTTTCTTGCTCTGATCGTGTGCCATTGCTGCTCCAAAATTTGACAACTGTGGACGAAAAAAACCAATTCATGAAGACCCAATTAATTCGAATCTCCAAGTGT